TTGGCCGAACTAAAAATGCTACAGCCATATTAACACGACTCGGATACGTCCGAGACTCATAACAAAAATAAGGCCTTCCAAAAATTCTTATAACTGGTTCTAAAGGCTACCCTCGGCAAGCTATAAACCTAAATTATTTTGGGAAAAAGTTTTCGATAACACTGAATCCCTACAATGCCTCAACACAAAGTAACGTTAAAAGCAAGTCGAACATAACCTAACTATTTCATGCTAAGGCATTTCGACCTTTGCGAAGACAAATAAAAAAGCAAAGGAAAAATTCAAAAGTGATATATATATATATCAAATTTTCTTTACAAGAGCTGAATAACTCCGATACATATTTTTTACAAAGGCCGAACGGCCTCAACAAAAAAGATGGTACAAAAAGATGGCCTAATCTTCATCGGGGGCCACGTCATTGCCTACAGGGTATTCGCCACCATCAGACTCACCCGACTCGTCAGGCCCCTTGGAATCTTCCTCGGGATAAGCCAGCTTCCTGGCCTTGGCTTCGTATATCTTGGTTGTCTCGACTTCAGCCAATAAGTCAAAATTCTGAGCATGGACTCCCTTGAGGGCATCCCTCGACATCGGCCTTATGCTGGGCCACCTTATCGTCAGCCTTGGCTCTGACCACGGCAACCTCTGACTTGGCCGCCTTAAGCTCCTTGGCCAGATTTTCTTGACCGGAGACAACCGAGTTCAGTTGAGACTGAAGCCCTTCGATCTTTTTGGCCTGCACCAAGTTTTTCTCCTTTTTAGCCTGAAAATGAACCTCAACCGAAGCTAACTGAGCTCGGGCAGTCTCCTTCTCCGAGGCCAGGCGATCCATGTTTTTCTTCCATTCTTCGACCTCGGCTTTGACCGTATCCACCTCCCACCAGAGCTGCTCGATCTGCTCAAGCTTTTTTTGAACCTGCAGGTTCTGATCGTTAGCCATTGTATCTGACTCATCATGACTAACTTAAAAAACTCTTCTTACCTGCTTGAACAAATCGGCATGCTCCTTCCGAGCCGTTTCTAGCTCAGACTAGGATTTTTCACTAAGAAACTTGTAAGCATTCTTCTTCTCAGTAAGCTACTGGGTCTCGACCTCGTAACATTTGAACTCTTCCAGGTATTGAAGAAAAGCCTCGTGATGAAGTACTAACTCCTGCAAGAGCAAAGGAAAATGTCACTATTATTTACGAATAAATCCAAGTACATAATAAGGGAAATTCGAAGTTACCCGATTCAACGCCTATTGAGCTTCGTTGAATAGGCATGGCGCTTCCACCTCGTTCATTTTGGCATGATCCTCTTCGATCACCAAGCACCGAAGGTAACTGGCCATCCCCATGGGGGAAGAGAGAACCTGTGCATCCTCCGGAATGGACATAAAGATTGCTCGCTTCCGGTAGGATTAACACTCGGAGTCGGGAACCGATTTACTAATTTTGGGCTCGAAGAAGACCCACCAACTCCGGAGACGGTATCTTCTTTGGTACTGGTAGGTCACCCAACCTGGTTACATCCTCTGAGGTGGTAGAATCTAAGCCGTCGAAGAAGTTGTGAAAAAATATTGCTGCTCCTTGGGGGCCCTCCCTGAGAAGACCTTTCAATGTCTGAGCCTCGTTTATCATAGAATCAGTAAACAAAGGCGACCCAGAGAGATTTATCACACCGAGTGCCTCCTTCGGAACATTGTCTTCTGACCGAGAAGTACCGTCCATGATTTCTTTATCGGCCTCCCCATCTCGGGGCAAAATGGCCTCAACCATACCTAGTTCGGGGGCCTCGGCCATTGCTTCTTCTTCAGGCCTCCCTGGTTTGAGGCATTTTGGAACCGCTTCTCACGCGGGCCACCAATTCGGATTCTTCTTCTTCTTCGGACTCATCCCTCAACCGGTGGACTGAGTCCGATGGGAGTCTTCGGGCACTGGTATTTTCTTTAAGTTTGCGCGTCACCCGCTTCCTCGATCTCTTCTTTTCAGGGCTCGAGGAGCTCGAAGCTTTTTTCCTTTTATTCTCTTTATCCTGCTTCGGAGCAGGGGGCTCGGTGAAAATGTCATCATCACCGGACGGAGGCCTCATTTCAACATCTTTCGGTAAACCTACAAAAGGAAAGTAAAACAAGTTAAAAATCGACGGCGTGAAAGTAAGGTCGAATATAACTTAAAGAAAAAATCTCACCATGAGAACGGGCCTCCCATCTGCCCTTCGAAAGCTCACGATATGAGCGCTCAGAGTAATATCTATGTGTTCCAATACCCTTGACCCACTCCTTGAGTCAGGGTACTGCACCATGCATCCGAGCAGTAGTTGCACCATCACAAAATATCGATGAAGAAGGAAAGAAAAGGAAAAGCTATAAAATAAATCTTGAAGGCAAGGTTTTACTTACGTTTCATGTTCCATTTTTCAGAAAATGGCATATCCTCGGCTAGGATTAAATGTGAGGTCTTCACTCTAACAAATCAGCCCAATCAACCTCAGTCCTGATTCTTATCGATGCTCGAGAATGGGGACTTACTCCCCGACGTGCAAGCTTGATTAATCCCCCTCGATAAAGTCGGGGACTATACAAACACATTAAATGATCGATGGTGAAGGGACACCCCTCGATCTTGCTCATGAAGAAGCGAAGAAGAATTACTATCCTCCAAAACGAGGGGTGAATTTGACCAAGGGTCACCTCGTACCTCTTATAGAAGGCGACGATGACTTGATCCAAGGGGCCCAACATGAAGGAATAAGTGTAAACACTCAATAAATCCTCCACGTGGGTGGTAATGGCTTCCTCGGACTTGGGTACCACCATGTGCTTGTCAGCCCAGTTACAATCTTTTTTGACCTCGGAGAGAACGTCATCGGTGACCGAACAGATATATCTCGAGACCGGTTCACACCGAACCGGCACCGAGGAGGTTTTCTCGACCTTAAAATCAGTACCGGTTGGGCACCCCGTAGGTACGAATAATTTCAGAGGGGGTTCCGGTACCCGTTCCTCAACAGCAATAGACGAAACATTTTTTTCAACAGATGGTCGTGAGGAAGCGCAGTTTTCTTTTTGAGGAACAAACTTTGAAGTTTTTGCCCATTTCTTATAAACAGTGGAGAAAATAAAGTGTTGGTAAAAAAGGAGGCGAGCTTAGCAAATAACTTATGTAAATTTTCAAAGAACTAGAAGAGAAGAAGTTTTGAGGCTAAGCTAGAAAATCAGAAGATGAAGGTGATGAAGCTTTCTTTAGAAAACAAGAGAAGAGTTTGAATGTAAAAGTTCTAATGAATGGATTAAAGGATATTTATAGTTTTCTCAAACGGCGGTTCACATCCTGAAGTGGCCGACTATTAACTGACACATATTTAATGCCATGAAGACTGGGCCGACGGGACATTTCAACTATTCTTGTCACTTACATCATGAATTCGTCGTCATGATTTATCGAAATGGGAATCGGAAGCTCGTATCATTTCTCATCAATTACACTCCAAAAAACAAAGGGATTTTGACGTCATGTTTTTGTCACTTGCGTCATGATATATCGAAGTGAGAATCTGAGGCTCATGTCATTCATCGTCATCTACTCTCCGAAGAACGAGGGGACTATCAGTATACTGGTAAAATCGAGCTTGATATTCGATCGAGCTTCCGAACTCCCTGATTAGGCCAGGGTCAAAATATCTGTGGTCGAGTGAAGTCGAGCTCGAAGATCGATCTAACGTCTAACACCATCGGCCAAGATCGGCACATGGTGATTATGATCGAAACCCAAAGCATTGTCAACGTTAGCCATCGAAACCATTAGATTTGCCCTCGGTTTTACCGAAGGCGTAACCGGTCCTATTTCCAACGGCCTCGAAGAAAGCTTTGTCAACTCATCCGGCAGGGGTCCGTAATTCTCGCCATTAATCAGTCATTATGGCAGAAATCACAGAACAACTCAAAAAGAGAACTAACGGTCAACAAATCAAGGACTTTTGCCTTTTATAGAATAATAAAATAATATCTTAAAAAGTAGATATCTCCTAGTATATAAAGGGGACTTGACAATTCATTAGGGACATTGTAACATACACTCATAAGCAATACATTATCGTTATACTTATTTCTTTGCTATCTTGGTGTCAATCAAAGTGCATTCAATTCAAGGGTGGCTTGCGTTCTTAAGCTGAAATCATCAAATTCCTGTGGTTTGTAGTTATTTTATCGCTATTTATTTTAATTGTAATCTAATTTATCGCTTTGTATCAAGTTAATTCACACATCCTTATAACTACTAACAAATTCAATTGTTATCCGATTTTGAGGGTAAACAAGTGTAAATGCTCAATAGGAACAACCATAAATTCAAGTGTTTAAATGAAAAATTATGTCAACTTTAAATCTTTTCGTATGTGTTCAATCCTTCTAAAATTTTATGCCAACTCATCACTTATATAAATAATCCATAATATGCCCCTAACATCGCGACGCTACAGGAGTCGGGACTAATTCATTAATCAATTAAAAGAAATGAAAGCAGTAAGAACCGTACGTGATTGGTAATCTACACACGGCAGTAGATCGTTAGAATTACGCATTCTAGTCTCTAGAAAAGCCAATTGGATGGTTTCTTAAGTTTAAAAATGGGCTTGACAAACCGGTACAAATTTAAGGGGGGCGTTAGGCCATTTGTTAGGCTATTTTGCAATCGCTGAACCTATGTGTTAGCGTTAGTGATGGCAAAAGTGAAACAAGAAATTCTCTCAAAAAATTATTATATTTAAAAATTCATGAATAATATGCTTTATCTTTCGGTTAACTTTCTATTTGTATTAAATATAGATTGATCAGATAATTTATTAAGTAATTTTTACATTATACGTTTTCGATACATCCATATTCGACTCACCCGGCCGTTTGACCCCCTAGTTAGCGTGTTAGGTAATCTACACATGGCAGTTGATCCTTAGGATTATTAGTTTTAGTTTGGCGCTCTGAAGATTTTGCGGAGGCGACAATGTGTAGGTAGGCCACGTCAATATTATCTACCCCAGAAACTGCTTTAGCCATAAAGACGACAAACACACCTTATCACTATATATCACCGTCCATTATTTGTCCCCTTTAAATCCCAGCTTCACTGCTCATTACTCCATCGCCTTCTTTACTGCAACTTCAATCAAAGAATGGATTCTACCCCATCATCCGAAATTGTTTATGATATCCCAATGCTTTTTCAGGTCTACAAAGATGGCCGTGTCGAAAGGTATCGAAAACATGACTTTGTCCCTCCTTCCGACAATCCAATTACAGGTGTCCGATCCAAAGATGTCGTCATCGTACCAGAAAACAACGTAACAGTACGACTTTTCCTTCCTAAAATCACCCAAAACGACCAGAAATTTCCTGTCCTTGTGTACCTCCACGGGGGCGGGTTTGCAATAGAATCAGCGTTTTCTACTTACTACGATAGTTACCTTCACTCTGTAGCTGCAGAAACCAATGTACTTGCTATATCCGTCGAGTATCGATTAGCCCCAGAACACAAAATTCCTTCGTGTTATGATGATTCGTGGGCTGTTATGAAATGGGTTGCTCAGCACGCAAATGGTGAACAGGGAACTGAACCATGGCTGAAAATCCATGCCGACTTCTCCCGAGTTTTCTTGGCAGGTAAATGGGCCGGTTGGGTCAAATTTAAGTTGATGAAAACGGGTCAAATCGATAAATGAATCGTGATCTAGACTGTCAAAAGTTTGCACGAATAAGAATGGATTGGTTCACGACGGAGCATAACTCAACTTGCTGATCAACATGACCCGATGTCTCATCTCTTTTTACCACTAATAAAATATGAAATCTAATACTATATTTTTTAATGATCAATTATTAGGTTAAATTCTTTCCAAGTTTACAGAATTTGCATCTTCATATTTGAATTTGTATATTTGAGTTTTTTGGTTGCATTTTGATTGATTAAGGGGTAATTTTAGAAGTTATTTTGAATTCAACCTGTCGGATCAAGCAAATAACGGGACATAACTCAATCCGTTTAAACATGAGCAGGTTGAATTAGTTACCAAAATATGTAGTGATTTTGCCACCTCTTTTGGCAGGTGACAGCGCAGGAGCCAATATTGCTCATAACATGATGATGCGAGCAAGTGTAGATGAAGATAAATTAGGAGATGGCTTGAAACTTGTTGGAATGGCACTGGTTCAGCCCTATTTTGGTAACAATGGGCCAGATAGAATTTGGTCATATTGTTGCCCAGAAAATCCGAATACAGATGACCCAAGATTCAATCCAGCAGCTCATCCAAGTTTGTTGTCTAAGCTTATTTGCTCGAAGATTTTGATATGCACTGGGGAGAAGGATTTTATAAGAGATAGAGGCTGGACATACTATGAAGCACTAAAGAAATGTGGATGGAAAGGTGAAGTGGAGATTAAAGAGACAGAAGGAGAAGAACATGTTTTTCATTTGGTTAAACCAACTTGTGACAAAGCTAAGGCCTTGATGAAATGGCTGGCCGATTTCTTTCAATAATCAAGCTGAATTCTTGTTGTGTAAAATCTCTCTACTAGTTCAGTTGTTTCTCTTTTTTCATTTCTAATTAAATAAGTCAATGTCTCAGGTAACTTATATGCTTCACTTTCTCGGAATAAAACTTGAAGTGGAAATGCAAAGAAGATTTTAGCAGAATTCATAATCAAGCCATGAACTGAATGAATTTGAAGTGATCTTATCCTACCAATTTTATTAACGTCACAAAACGATTTCTGTATATGAGCACACTTGAGTAGATAAATTGGCTAATTGCATAAGGTTGTTTGGGACTGAGGCAGCTATTGTTGTTGTTGAAAGTTGTAGCAGCACTTTATACAGTAACTGCGCAATGTGCCTTGCTACTGCAAACTTTGGTCACGGAATAGCTCACGCAATTTTTCAATTTTTCGTTTTCATTTAAGAACAAAAATAAAAGGAAAATAGTCATTTGGTTAGATGGGAAAGGGAGTATTCAACGGGGAACTCTTAAGTAATTGCATTTGAACGTTTTTCAACTAATTTGAATGCAGTGGACTTTCGGTGATATGAGATGCCAACTTCAAAGGGATAAATTGTAACAAATTAATTTTTACACTTGCAGTACTTGTATAAACAAAAAAAAAACAAAGTACTTTTGAGTTTGAAGAAACTTGGACAACCGGTGCATTCGATGTTTAAGTGTGCAATAAAATTAGGAATTAAATTCATCCTCCAATTTTCCTCACAAGGTGAAGGAGGAAATCATATAATTCCCGTCCGGATAATTTTCCAAAACATATGCTTTCTAAACATATTACTATAAAGTATGATTTAGAACAAAGGTGAGATACGTTGCTAAGAAACTTATCTTGAAAACAGGACAAAACTTCTTAAGTTAAAATAAATATCCACACAACTAGTTTTGTTTGTCAAAAACTAATCGGGCAAGCCTACCGTAAAAATCCAAAGGCCAATGCAAAGTCTGGTTGTTGATTTTTCTAGTCCTTTTCCATAAATACGAAAGCCACAAACAATTTGGATTTGGCTCACCTCCTTTAGGTGATCTCTCTAGTTCCTTCAATGCCACTCTGTATAGTATACACGTGTCTATTTGTATACGGTCGAAATAGATTTCGGCCTTCCTACGTTCGATCGAGTTCGAATGTTAAAAAGTCGGAATTACATTTTCGGGAGTGAGCTCCGAAGTCGGTATTAACGAGCCTCGAGCCCGAAGGTCGATCGAGGGGTCGGCTCGATAACCCTATCGAGCCCGTGGCCGAATCGATCTGCAAGGCACTACTTGGAGATCGGAAATGCGCGACGCCCATCTCGAAGGTCGGACTCGAGCCAAGACCGAAAGGCCCAACCCAGTAACGAACTCGAGCCAGTATCGAGCTCACAGACAAGAGTCGTTGCGACCGCACCAAGAGAGAGAATCTTGACAGGAATCAAGGAAGAGACAGGTCATCATGGGCCTTCCACTATATGTTTTATTTTATTATTTTTTGTAATAACCCTCTTCTATAAAAGGGGGAATCCTTTTTAAGCTAAAGGGCAGAATGCATTGTAACAAAAGATCACTTCTCATATTGAAAGATAGTTCCTCATGCTTGTTTTATTTTAACTTATTCATTCTTTTGCTCAATATTCCCATTCTTATAGTCAGGAATATACGTATCTCTATTTCCCTATACGATTTATATCACATTGTATCGTATATCCTTAGAACCACACATAAAATCTAACGTTATCCGATTTTTTCGGTAAATAGTTTGGCGCTCACCGTGGGGCTAAGGGTAACAGTGATCGTTTGATACAAATCTAAAGTGCACGTCAGCTTATAACTTCAAATCAGCAATGGCTTTACTTATCGACCACGAAGCCGGCCTTCAAGATGAAACCAATAACTTGGCACCTGGGGCCGGAAGGCCAATTAACGATGGCACCGAGGCTCGAATCGAAGTACCCGAAATTCGAGCCGAAATACCATTGGATGTCAATTCACAAATAGCTTTGGAGGCAAATCAGCGTTCCGAACCGGAATGAAGCATTCAGGGCGGTACTCGATCCATAGCCCGAGACACACAAAACGCGATGAAAATCGGGGCCAGCTTACGTACGATCTTCGAGATGCTACAAGCCCAACAAGTAGCGATAGCTCAGTTACAGAGCCAAACTCGCGCACAAAGCAGGCAGGATTCCAATCCACTTCGAGAAGTCACCCTCGGAACAGAGCCCGCCATAGTGAAATCAAATGAGCAAGAATCGGGGACTACTCCTAAAATTACTAAATTGCTCGAGGAACTCACAAAACGAGTCGAAGCCAACGACAAGAGAGTGGAAACATACAATGTTAGGGTCGATCAAATCCCGGGGGCTCCACCAATGATAAAGGGGCTTGATTCAAAAAAAATTCATACAAAAGCCTTTTCCGTCGAGTGCGGTGCCGAAACCAATCCCAAAAAAATTCCGTATAGCCCGAAATTCTCAAATATAACGGTACGACCAATCCTAACGAACATGTCACCTCTTACACATGTGCCATCAAAGGCAACGATTTGGAGGACGATGAGATCGAATCCGTGTTGTTGAAAAAGTTCAAGGAGACCCTCTCGAAGGGAGCGATGATCTGGTATCACAATTTACCATCGAATTCCATCGATTCTTTTGCCATGTTAGCAGATTCGTTCGTAAAGGCACATGCTGGTGCCATAAAGATTGCAACAAGGAAATCAGACATCTTCAAAGTAAAGCAAAGGGAGAATGAAATGCTGAGGGAATTCGTATCCCGATTTCAAATGAAACGCATGGAATTACCACCGATCACAGACGATTGGGCCGTACAAGCTTTCACCCAAGGGTTGAATAAGCTAAGCTCGACATCATCACATCGGCTGAAACAAAATTTGATCGAGTATCCAGCGATAACTTGGGCAGATGTACACAACCGATACCAATCGAAAATTAGGGTCGAGGATGATCAGTTGGGAGCTCCGTACGGACCCGTGCATTAGAATAGGACAGTTACTAAAAACCAAAAGGAGATCGACAGAGAACAAAGGTCAAACAGTGACCGATATCGACCGTATGTCGCAGATCGGGTGAACAACGGTTCAGTACGCAATGCAGTTCAAAATAATCGAAGGATTGATCGAGGGAAAAATTCTCGGGACTTATCAGTAAGAGCGGCTTCGATAAATATGCCGATCCTATAGAAGCACCTCGATTATCAGAATATAACTTCAGCGTTGGTGCATCCGCTATCGTGTCAGCCATCGGACGCATCAAAGACACTAAATGGCCTCGACCCTTGCAGACCGATCCTGCCCGAAGAAATCCCAATCAAACGTGCGAATATCATCGTACCCATGGCCACAGAACGGAAGATTGCAAGCAACTAAGAGAGGAGATAGTCCGCTTATTTAACAAAGGGCACCTTCGGGAATTTCCGAGTGATAGGGCGAGGAACCATTTTAAAAACAGGGATTTCAGCAAGCAAAACGAGCAAGAAGAACCGCAGCACGTCATCCACATGATCATCGGCGGCATCGATACCCCTCAGGGACCAGTGCTTAAACGCACTAAAACATCGATTGTGAGGGAAAAGCGATCTCGGACTCAAGATTATGTACCCATGGGGACTTTGTCCTTTGATGATGAAGATGCAGAAGGGGTCATCCAACCTCATAACGACGCACTGGTAATATCCGTACTCATGAATAAAACTAAAATTAAGCGTGTGTTAATCGATCCAGGTAGCTCGGCCAATATCATCCGATTGAAGATAGTAGAGCAGTTCGGCCTACAGGATCAGATCATACCCGTAACTCTGGTTCTAAACGGGTTCAATATGGCATGTGAAACCACCAAAGGCGAGATAATCCTACCAATAAATGTGGCCGGAACCATCCAGGAAACAAAGTTTCACGTGATCGAAGGTGATATGAGATAAAACGCCCTTTTCGGAAGGCCCTGGATCCACAACATGAGAGTTGTACCTTCGACCCTACACCAGGCCCTCAAATTCCCGACATCGAGAGGTGTCAAAATGGTGTACGGAGAACAGCCAGCCGCAAAGGAAATGTTCGTCGTCGAGGAAGCTAAACCAATGTCCTCACCTTCACCAATAAAAAGATCGGGCTCGGAAGGAGAATGGGACACCAAATAGCAATCACAGACATCGGCTTCGACCCAGCCAGACAACCAAAAAATCGAAGAGGATGATGATCAAAGGGTCCCTCGATCTTTCGTGATTCCCAAGGACTCTGACGCCACCAAATCAACAATCGAGGAACTAGAGCAAGTCACATTAATCGAGCACTGGCCCGAGCGAAAGGTATACTTGGGAATGGGATCCATTCGAGAGGTGAAATATCCCGAATGGTTAGCCAACGTAGTTGCAGTCCTTAAAAAAGGGAACAAACTTAGAATGTGTGTAGACTATAAGGATTTGAACAAAGCATGCCCCAAAGATTCCTTTCCGCTGCCCAACATCGATCGCGTGATCGATGCCACGGCCGGCCACGAGATCCTCACTTTTCTCGATGCCTATTCCGGGTATAATCAAATCTGGATGAACCCGGAGGACCAGGAAAATATTGTATTTGTCACCAAATATGGAATGTATTGTTATAATGTGATGCCCTTCGGGCTAAAGAATGCAGGGGTTACTTACCAACGCCTAGTAAATAAAATATTCGAAGAACAAATAGGAAAATCAATGAAAGTTTATATTGATGACATGCTAGTTAATCCCTGCGCGCATAGGACCATTTGACCCATTTGTAGGAAACGTTCGAAATTTTGAGGAAATACAACATGAAGCTCAATCCCGAAAAATGTGCTTTCGGAGTCGGTTCGGGCAGGTTCCTCGGCTTCATGGTGTCACATTAGGGAATAGAGATTAACCCCGATAAAATCAAGGCCATCGAAGACATCATCGTTGTGGACAGCGTGAAGGCCGTAGAAAGGCTAACGGGTCGGATTGCAGCCTTAGGCCGGTTCATTTCAAGATCATCTGACCGAAGTCACAAATTTTTCTCTCTACTCAAAAAGAAGAACGATTTTGCTTGGACCCCGGAGTGCCAACAAGCATTATAGGAACTAAAATGATATCTATCAAGCCTACCACTACTTCACACTCCAAAAATAGACGAAAAACTTTGTTTGTACTTGGCAGTATCGGAAGT